TTTTTTATTTTGTTCTATGTTTTATTACTTTTTGTTTGAATCTCTCAACATTTTACAACAGTAGCCAGGTGGTGAAGACAAGAAAAAAGAAACGAAATTACAATGTCACTTGCAATCGCCACTTGCACTCTCGTACAAATCGTGCGTGTTGCCAATGGAGACAAGAAACTGTGGTGGTGATTAAATGATTAAAACTAATTTAGTACTATAACATACAGGGTCCTGCAAGAAAAGAAAAAAAAGACACGCAGATCCGTGGCCACAGAACAGCAGAATATGAACGCAATTCACAAAGTCTCTCGTTAAGCGTTTCCCTCCTGTAGAAAAACATAAACACTTAACATGGCTTAATGTATTAAGATGCTATTAAAATATCAAATTAAATATACAGTTTATTATTATAATGAATATGTATTTAGTATTTTCCTCCCATACTGCAAAAAGTGGCATAATGTGGCATAATGGACTAAAAAGGCCAATATGCTCCTCTACATTATTAATATACATAGGCTAACTAATATGTACAGGCAAGCAGGTGAGCCCAGAATAAACGCAACACGCACAGTTTCGTGTTAAGCATTTTTCCATATAGAATAAACTGTCTACAGCTCTTTTATATCATTGTCTTTGTCCATTAAGCTACATTATGTGTTTTATTTATAATGATTTTCTATAGGAGGAAAATGTTTAACGTGCAATTTAACGCATTGTGTTCTGGGCTCGTCTGCTTGCCTGTACGGAGTTGATCCTTTTAAAATAACTTAACGCATTTCAAAATGCACGTTCATATTTGTTGGTCTGTATATACTTTGAGTCAACAACAAGACATATAGGCTAGGCCTACTGAATTGTCTTTATCATCTTAATTCGTTATTATGCCACATTAAGCGTTTTGCTGTATGGGAGGACAAGTGAAAGTTTGCGCATTGTGTTCATAGCCATCTGTTTGCCTTGTAGTACATTAAATAATAACTATACATCGAATTAGATTTTTTAATTGTACTGAATGTATCTTAATACATTATGCCATATTAAGTGTTTCTGTTTTTCTACAGGAGGAAAATGCTTAACGAGAGACTTTGTGCATTGCGTTCATATTCTGCTGTTCTGTGTCCACGGATTTGCGGGGTTTTTTTTCTTGCAGGACCCTTTATGTTATAGTACTAAATTAGTTTTAATCGTTTCATCACCACCACAGCTTCTTGTCTCACGCACGATTTGTGTTGATTGCAAGTGACGTCGCAGGTAGCGGAGAGTGCAAGTGGCGATTGCAAGTGACATTGTAATTTAGTTTCTTTTTTCTTGTCTTCACCACCTGGCTACTGTTGTAAAATGTTGAGAGATTCAAACAAAAAAGTCATCAATAAATAGAACAAAATAAAAAAATAAAAGACTGCAAGTGACGTCGCTAGCGGAAGCGCAAGTGTCTGAGAGTGCAAGTCTGAGAGTGCAAGTGCAAGGCTGCAGCCAGACCCTTCTCGAGTCTGCCTTTAGGGGGAGCTCTCGCGACAGGTTTACTCCCCTCAAGTGCAAGGACAGCATGTATGAGGGGAGCATCGCCTCAGCCTCAGCGTTTGGTTTATTATAATCTCCCATTAAGTCTGAGAGTGCAAGTGCAAGGCTGCAGCCAGACCCTTCTCGAGTCTGCCTTTAGGGGGAGCTCTCGCGACAGGTTTACTCCCCTCAAGTGCAAGGACAGCATGTATGAGGGGAGCATCGCCTCAGCCTCAGCGTTTGGTTTATTATAATCTCCCATTTCAGGATGAAAGTTCTTTAAAAAACTTTATACAGTCAAAATTCATGTATATTTATAAACGCACACGAATGTTAATTAGCGAGCTTTGGACATTTGACTGACCGACCTATTCCTTGTCAAAGGAGTCACGAACTCATGGGCGGTGTAACTTGTTACACCTGAAGGTTACTTGATGGTTTTTGTCAAAGGTAGGCTACTATTAGTTTCGCTAATTTTAAAGCTTTTAACTGGACAAGAATAATTTAGTGCATATTTAAGGGCCTTTCGTCTGGCAATACGGGGAGCTCACGCGACTGATTTAGATTTAATATTACCTGAGGGGGACATTTTGGGGATTTGGTTTCTAAATCACCTATTTTACGAGCAAAGCTCTTTAAAGCAGTTTATACAGTGAAAACTAGTCTGTTTATGTATTTGTAAACATTAAAGAATGCCATCCAGCGTATATTGAACCCTTGTTGTTTTGTCTGACTGACCCAGCCTTGTTGTAGTCGTCACATGCTCCATGGATGGTGTAATATTCTTAAAGTGCAATATTAATAGGCTAAATATTTTGTGTGTATAAAAATGTGTACGTTTTATTTACTCATAAATTCAAATTATACAAATGACACTGTACTCCAGAAAACATTGTGTTGCACATTATGAATTCTCTTATGTGCAAGACTTTTTGTTGAAGAACTCATGCTTGAGTTTCTAATATATTTGGTTATTATTTTCCCTCTTTTGTGACTTCAGCAACAGGCCTTCATGAGATCTTTGAGCTTGAGTGATCTTGAAGAAAACCACAGAACTCAAGAGATGACCCACCATCATAGACCACTGTAAACCAACAAATAAAGTAAGGAAAATTTTAAATCAAAGGGATAGTTTGATCACCCAAAAACTGAAATTCAGTTATCATTTATGCACACTCATGTTGTTCTAAATCTGTATAACTTTATTTCTACCAGAGAACAAAAAAAAAACACTAAAGAAAAAGACATAAAAATATCGAACAGTTTTTTTCCCCCCAATAAAATAAATTAATTCTTGCAAATATATTATTTTGATATCCAGGAAAATAAATGCTTGATATGAATTTTCATTTTTGGGTAAGCTATCACATCAAAAACTATGAGGTGAAGTGTGCAATATCTGTGCCACTGGCGACCAAAATTTTATTGCAATTATATTTTCTAGTTTTCTGAACAAGAAATTGTCATGCCTAAAAGCAGTTCAGTGTTTTGACAGCCATGTACTCCCATCGTTTACCCATTAGTTTATATTTGTCTCTATCATGGGTGCTTCTCAAACAGAAGGCTGCATCCTACCAGTGGTGGCTCGTGGGTTTTAAAATAGAGGATGCACACTAATTGTATTGGTCTGGGATCCCTGCCGATTATTATTATTATTTGCTTAACCACTTTAAAATGGCTTTTTGGTTGCTTTTAGTCAGAAAACGTAAAGAAAACAACACACATACTGCAAGATAATATAACTTCACTTACCTGGCCAATCACTAGAAGCAAACATCCATCCCTTCTTAAAAGTCTGTGTTAAAAGAGCCGACTGCTGTAATGTTCGCCTATATCTAGCTTAGGTGTGTTCTCCCTTTATTTAAAATTTGTATGTATACTGTTTGAATGACAGCTTGGTAAATCTGTTGGCGATCAAATATTCAATATCGCTACTCATAAATACTTGGTACATTATCAGCGCAGCGGGAGACGTTCAAACTAATATCACGTAATTTACGTCTCTATGATGATTGATTGATATATCAGAAGGGAGGCTAGCCTCCCCTACGAGGTTTCTTTTCTCAACACTCCTCAGCGCTGAAAGTGAACACTCGATGGTGATTGGCTAATTTTTTTTACCAACGGAGTCACGAGAGCTCAGCTCTCCCCCCGGCCTCCCCCTCCCCTTCTCTATCACCTAGTGGTTGTAATTACATCAGCAGATTCGGCACATTCGCGATAGAAAAGCGGCGCTTTCCAACTTCAGTAACATGTTATGGTATTACAGCTGTGAAATTACAAACAAAAAATACACATTCTGAGACTTTTTCACCTCAAAAATTTGGGGAAGCTGTGCCTCCCCCGACAAGCCACTGCATCCTACTGAGGTTGCATCCTTCCTAGTTCAGTCCTTCAGAGTCTTGTAGGCTAGACTCCTCCTCGACATTAAACACTAGAATGAGACAGTCTAGTAAGTGCGTGTGGCTACATCACATATGTTCCCGTCCTCCCCGTCACGGCACAAAAACAATAATAAAACGTAGTTTTGGAAAAATTCTATTTATTAGAAATCTTTATATTATTTGCCTTTCTATTAATGCAATACAATGAATCACAGCCGTCTACAATCTCCCTGTGGCTTAAATTATTGGGAGTTTAGCGTTTAGTATGCAATTTACACCAAAACAAATTGTAACATCTATCCTTTCATGTCCGAAAACATTATTTTTGTCTTACATTTCATAATAAATTCAGACAAGCTCAGTACTGACTCATTTTTTGTCAGTTTATTTTCATGAAATTGAATGGGTTCAAAGGATTGTGGGCGATTGAAGGTCGCGAAGGATACATCCCATGCATCCTTAAAATTCAGCTGAATGAAGAACGCGAAACGAAGGATGCCTTTCAGGGATTCTTCCGATTGATATGGCCTTCAGCGACATTTGATGACGTGGCAGCCGAGATATGCAGCCTTCGTATGATGCAGCCTTCTGTTTGAGAAGCACCCCATGTGTGCCTCCAGGGCCGGATTTACATTTTATCGTGACATAGCCAAAATAAATTTTTGGGCCCCCCTTCCCTATTAATATATAATATATAGCAAACAAAAATATGTCGTAATCAGTGGAAACCAGTTATAGAGTTCTCTATCGCAATAAGCGCAAAGTCGTTCGGCTTGCATTTAGTCATTGAAGATCTAATGTAGTTCTTAATTTGTTTGAGAACAGATAAAGACCGTTCCATTAATAGGCTCCAGCGTCTTGTCCACATTACCACTTTACCACGGCATTATTTCTCTATTAGTTTTAAATGTGACTAATAGTCACAACCACATCTCAAGACATTGTTTAGATAATTTATTTCAAGACATTTGTCATATTGTCGTCCTGAAAACTCCTGTGATGAACAAATTTGCGCACCTCACTCCAAACCCTCCATTGCTAATTCCAAAACGTAATTTCAGAGCTAATAACGATGGTTTGAGCCATTAATAAGCAGGCTAATGCAGTTTTAAATCCGGCCCTGTGCCTCACACGTCCTGAAGCTAAAATGAAGCCAAAACATTTTGATCGCCCCCTTGGTGGCTAGTTGCAGTATAGGGCATAAACTCCAGCCTCTTCATGTAAACAAATTGGATGTGAGCCAAACTAACAAAGTTAGGTAATCTTTTTATTTTTAATTATACAGTCTTTTCCCTATATTTATAACTGTGATAGAAGTATACAATCAGAAAAAAATGACTCCCTTCACCTTTAATGTCAGGGTTCCCACAGTCACGGAAAAACCTGGATTTATTGTTTTAATGTTCTGGTTTCCAGACCTGGAAAAGTAATAGAAATGTATAGCTATTATAGTAATCAGCCACAACATTAAAACCACTTGCTTAATATCATGTGGGTCTCACTTGTGATGCCGAAACAGCTCTGATGTGTCTAGGCATAGACTCCACAAGACCTTTGAATGTGTCCTGTGGTATCTGGCACCAAGACATTGGCAGCAGATCCTTTAAGTTGTAAGATGCAAAGATGGGCTGCGTGGATTGGATTTGTTGGTCCAGCACTTTCCATAGATGCTGAATCGGACTGAGATATGGGGGAATTCTTGGTATGCATGGCTGAAAAATATTTCATCATATAGATCTGGAACTGGATATTCTGTGATATTTATGTACACCCAAGTCATGGGAAAATAATTGAAATTCATAGGCAAATAGGTGTGGGAACTCTGTAATGTGAATGCTGTGTGTGTGTATCCCTAGAGGTAAGAAGGTAGGTGAATAGGTAATCGTCGGCTTCACCATCTCTAAGAAGAAAAGGATGAAAATTTGAGTAATCCTGTCAAACTCCATCATGAAGATATGTGTTAAAAGGAAAAGAGAGTCAAAGGTCAACCTGGTCTTCAGCGTTCTCTGCACTAATGACATAATGATTCTCTTGTGACCAATCAACACTTTTACCTTTTTTGGACCATGTTATTTATCTGACAAAAACGTGTAATGCTCTAGAGAGGCTATTAGCACTTATCACAAATGTTTGGTATCCATAATGATGTCTTCTTCAATATAAAAATAAGTGTCTAAAGAAAAAATGAGAGTGACAGTTCAGCCTTGTCTATAGTGTCCTATGTGCTTGCCTTATGATGCAATAATTCTGTGAACTCTTTTGTGACCAATCAGCACTTTTACCATGCCCTGTTTTTTGTTCAAATGTGTAACTCTCTTGAGAGTCTGTTAGCACTTGTCACAGAGAATTGTCATCTGTAGTCTCATTAAACTTGCTGTTGAAGCCTAACAGTCAGAGGTGTAATGTAAACCGACTGGAGCTGATGCAACCAGAGCTATTGTAGAGATTGTAGCTGAGATCCCTTCCCATTGGGAGTGGGTTACTCATTATTACACCAAAACACTTTTGTTTGTCTTGTACAATTTAATATATAGTTTAAATGACTTTGGAATACTTGGCAGCAAAAGACATAATTTCTGTGTACATAAACACAAGTCAATAATGTCAACTACAACTAGTAAAGTTTAAGTTTGTTTTTCTCTTTATTTGTTTTTATAGTACCAATATTGGTCTGTTTGTTAGATGGCCACAACATGTTACTGCAATCTTAGTTCTCAACTGAGAGTGTTTACACTTGCAGTTCGGTTCTTTTGGTCCAGACCAAATAGTAAAATGATACACTTAGTCCCAGGGTTCTACGCTTACTTTTCTTTTTAAAAATTTAAACCATTTAGGAGCACAGTCAAAACTTTCAGGAGCACCTTCTAATCAATAATCAAAAATTCTGATAAAAAATTAGCCTTTCCATTATGAGGTGATATTTGACTCCTTAAAGTGATTTACAGGGAACTTTGTTTTTACGTTTGTAGTGGAATTTTTCTAACGTTATAAAAAGTTTGGCATCTTTTGTCAAATTAAAAAATACATATATTTGTAAGATTTTAAAATTTCTATTTAAAACAACAAAATAAAAACAAGTAGAATAAGAAGTATAATAAGAAATTAGCAATCAAACGAAATGAGTATTAAAAAATTTATACTACAGGTGGCACAGAAGAACACAAAAGTGGCTTGTATGTGTATTTTTAGACGTTTAAAGGGGTCATATGATGCTGCTAAAAAGAACATTATTTTGTGTATTTGGTGTAATGAAATGTGTTTATGCGGTTTAAGGATCAAAAAACACATTCTTTTCCACATACTGTACATTATTGTTTCTCCTCTATGCGAATAAAAGAGCTTGTAACACTCCAAAGAGAAAGGAAAAATTTAAACCGCATCATATCACCCCTTTAATGAGGTTCAGAGGTAGCATGAGTGCAATTAAATTCATATTCATGTTGAGGTTGATGTTTTAATTATACAATTTTGAATATAGAAATATTAAATGATTTAAATTAGAAATTTAAAATTAAATTTAAATTTAAACAGAAAAGACACTTTAAAAATGTAGTTGCTCTATGAGACTCAAAGCCTGCTCGCTATTGAAATGCCTTCGCAGTGGACCAAGCTGAACCAGCGACCTCTCTGCTCGGCTGATTCGCCGCTTCTTCCGCCGTGGCAGTAGAGGTCCCAGCTGATTCCCTGCCACCATCCAGCGAGCCTACACTAGCTTATTTCCTAACAACGTTGTAGCAAATGTTGTGCTGCGAGTGTGGTTCATGCAGGGATGCACGATGCAGAAGGGCAGTGAGTGCGTCACCTATCTGGGCAGTCCCCACGCAGAGCCACTCTCTCACTAAGGCAGAATGCTCTCACTGAGAGCATGAGTCTCGCCCTTCTCCGCTCGCAGCTTACCTTCTTCAATGAAGGCAGCCCCGCCCTCTCGTTTCTCCTCTCTCAGCAAAGCTCGGAGAGAGAAACAGCGGAGCCACGGAGTTGAGCAACCGGGCCTGAGCGATCTCACGCTGGCACAAAGCCCGTGTGCTCGCTCTCTCCGCTGCATTACATCGAGCGGCTCTATCATCCTCGGAGTACAACTCTCACACATCACGCGTGCTTAACTTGATCTGCCAGTACATGTTACACGTGAGGATCAGTGCCCCTCATTACATTGAGCGGCGCAATCCTTCTAAGCAGATCGGAGGGCTGTCACTCTCTATCGCTGACAGTATTTGTGTGTACGGCGCTGAGGCTGCGCTCACTGCTGCGGGTTGCTTTCACTATTGCTGCAGCAGGCATGAGCCCCTTGCTGTTGTTTGTGCAGTTTGTGAACTTCATCATAACAAGAACAAAACATATATTTTGCTTTATTGGTGGCAAGCAAGACGGCCTAATGTCTCTATTATAGAGAACTGGTGGATTGACATGTAACTTGTAGTTCATTCAGTGAGTCATCTGTTGATTCAGAAGCTGCTTTGATGGATTTGGTGAGTTAATTCAGTGATGTATTCACCAGGCTGATTCAGCGTTCTGCAACACACATGTCAGACAGTGTGCAGTTACTGCATTGAGTACTTTTTCGTGGCTTTAACCTTCTTTTTAACACCAAGGATGTCCTGTGCTTTTTCTCATTCATGCGTCTTGCTTTCACTCTAAATGTGCATTTTATGGTATTTGTGTATCTGTTTTGTTTGTATATTTGCTTTGGTTTGATGAAAGTATGATCGTAATGCAAAATTTACAATAATGATGTGACTATAATTTTGTGCAAATCTAACTTGTCCAATGACTTTCCAAGGACATGTCAAAACTATTTAATGTCTAACGCTTCTAGCTTTTAATGTTATTGTGTATTAACATGCATAAATGTTTGAGTGCATAAATGTTTGAATGTAGGGCAGTTGTTCTAATGGTAACTTATGTTACACTAATTTGTCAAATGTAACCGTAAAAGAAGCTCTGAGCTATTCTATGTCTTGAAAATATTATTGGATTAGTTTTACTAATTCAAAATTGTATAAATCAGATTAATCCAGTCTATGAATATTTAAATAGTAGGTGGGCCAAAAAGTGAATTATCAAATCTCATTCTGAATGGGTGGTCGCTACTCTTTCTGCAAGTATAAAACAGGGTCATGTCAGTGATGAGCTCCAGGAATCCAAACTGACAAGCATCCTCGAACAGATTTGGAATAGTTCTCTGATGAAGCACAGTCTACTCTATATTGTGCTATCACCAAAATGTCTATCTGGGGAGCGACACATACGGACAATGAATCAATCATATACTGCTTTCCAAATAACAATTTGTCTTGTACCAAAAACGTCAAACCTGGAGCCGAGTACATTATTGTGTACATATTCATTTCTACAATATCAGTATTTACTGTGTTTCTGAACTTGTTGGTGATCATTTCCATCGCTCACTTCAAACAGCTCCACACTCCAACCAATGTGCTGATCTTCTCTCTGGCAGTGGCTGATCTGATTGTGGGACTGATTCTTACGCCAGTACAGGGCATCAAATTGATTGAGCCATGTTGGTACTTTGGAGAAATATTTTGTTCAATATTTCCTTTTATTTTCTATGTGGTTGTTACGGCATCTCTTGGTAATTTGATTATTATATCTGTGGATCGTTACATTGCTGTGAATGACCCTTTGCGATATCCAGCAAGAGTCAATACTAACAGAGCAGTTCTTTCTATTGTTGTAAACTGGGTATTTTCCTGCATATATTCTTTTTTTCTTTTGTATGAGTCTATACTCTATCCAGAGAAAAATCATACATGTGTTGGAGAATGTATACTTTTTATTAAGTTAGAATATATCATAACAGATGTTATAGTTACTTTAGTAACACCGTGTTGTTTAATCATTTCTTTATATATGAAAATCTGCTTTGTGGCAAAACATCAAGCTGAGCATATAAATTCACTCTCAGACAAAAAAGCCAAATCAGAAAAAAAGGCTGCAAAAACCTTAGGGGTTGTTGTCATGGTTTATCTTCTTTGTTGGATACCATATTATATAGCTGCTCTTACGCTTGGGCAAGACACAGGTGACTCTCTTGTAATTAATATAATGTATTGGATTTTATGCATGAATTCATGCTTGAATCCACTTATTTATGCCATGTTTTATAGATGGTTTCGAATATCAGCTAAATACATTTTGACTTTGAAAATATTTGAACCTTCATCAGAATACTTCAACCTGTTCATGCAAGAGAAATGATTTCATGCTAATCTTATGCTTTGCACGACTGTAAAGCACACATAAGAGTGAAATGGTTCATGCAAAAATGTATTCACCCTCATGCTGTTCCAAAATGTTATAACTTACTTCTGTGGAATACAAAACATATTTTGAAATATCTCGGTATTCCTTAAAATATATATTTTTTTTCCACAAAAGAAAGAAATGCATACAGGTTTGAAATGACATATGGTTGGGTAAATCATATCATATTTTTTAATTTTTGGGTGAATTATAGCCTTAAGCTCATCTGTTTCCAAACAGAATAGTTTAGGTTCTATTTTAATCTTCATTGTGAAAAATAATCTCTATGTAGCACATATGGTTTTGAAATGTTTAGGTAGGGTGTCTAATGACTAGATCAGTATGACCGATCTGAGGATTTCAAATGATTAATATCATCTAAAGAAGCTTCTAAGAATTTATTAACTCAAAGTGGAAAACTGGTGCAAGGACAAATCCTTGTTTAGACATTAAGAATAATGCTGCTGAATAGCACTAGTGCAAATCATGGATCATCATCATCATCAACTAAATGGAAATGAAATAATATATATATTGAATTTATTAATGTGTGTGTGTGTGTATATATATATATATATATATATAATGTTAAGTTTTGAAATTTTGTTGTATGCATTTGTCATTTTTTATTTAATTTCATTATTTTTAAAATGTGTATAAGTAGTACTTATAAAGTTTTAGCTTTTAGTTTTGGATCTGTTTTTAGTTGTTTTAATACTACAATTGATTGCTTCTGTTGTCCTCATTTGTAAGTCGCTTTGGATAAATGTTTCTGCTAAATGACTAAATAAAAAATAAATAAAATAAAAATCACAGTATAAAAATATGGTGTCTTCATGGACATTTTCAGGGTCTTTTTAAAGTTTGTTTTGGTCTGCTTTAGTGTGCAAAGGCTGAAGAACTGTGATGTGGTGTGATGGGGAAAAATCACTTTGCTGCTGAGTGACAGATGTTGTCTGACGAAAAAAATTAGTAGTTTTTGTAATGTTCAAATGGTGTTTCAGAGATTTAAGTTACAGACATCTTACCGTTGAGCCCTGAGGATTTTTTTTTCTGCTGCCCTAGTGGGACCAGTGGTTCCAATTTCTTAAACATGTGATTACAAAACATTTGTCATTTTTTATTTAATTTCATTATTTTTAAAATGTGTATAAGTAGTACTTA